AAATGGGCTTCAAATTTGTGAGCATAGGAGAAAAATAGATATCATGAGTCGCAACTCATCAAAAAAAATTATCCAATCTGTCTCAAATCTATAGGGAACGAGTGTCGAGAGTTGCCTAACAAGTTGAGCGCACTATTTTCAAAACTCACAATCGGAAAAAATATTTTCAGCTTTGGGAATACCCTCTATTGCTAACGAGAAATAGTTTGCAAAAAAATACGGTCGAGCGTTGCCAATTATTGTAATTACTTTTTAAAGGAAGTTATGAAACACATTTTCAGTAGTTCTGAACATGATAGAAGCATTTTCAGGTGAGAAAGTTATCCTCTCTCGTAAGACAAAGCGCAAACCTTGAAAATCCTCGTCCCTCGGCGGCACATTTTTTTGAATTTTTTTCCTTTTCAACGGCGTTTTTTGGGAATTTCGGATTTTTTTTTCTAAACGACGCCTATTTCGAAGGAGAACGTCTTCATATGAAATTCTCATTGATCTTCCGTCTTCCTTCAGGTCGTGGATACGAAGATTCTCCAAAATATGAGGTCCAACTCCAGAGAAAAAGAAGAGCTTTAACTCTGATTGAAGCCAAAATCACTAATTGTAATGAGATTCCTAATTGATTATTTTTTCATAGTTGCCGGATGCCGGGCCGTCCGCGGGCCGGCTTGGTCTGGCATTTCGCAACTTTGATTTTTTGTAAGTTTGGAATAAATTTGTTGAGCATTTTCTGCTTTTTTTGGTTACTGTAGTTTTAAAAGTTTTCCGCTTTTTTGAGACTACCTTGAGAGGAAATTTCGAATTTCCTGGGAATTATTAAAATACAAAAGAGATCCTGGATTTTCGAATTTTTAGAATTTCAAATTTTCAGAATCTCAGAATCTCAGAATCTCAGAATCTCGGAATCTCACAATCACAGAATCTCAGAATCTCAGAATCTCAGATTCTTAGAAATTCCAAACTTCTGAATCTCACGAAATTCAGAATTTCAGAATTTCAGATCTTCAGAATCTCAGAATCTCAGAATCTCAGAATCTCAGAATCTCAGAATCTCAGAATCTCAGAATCTCAGCATCTCAGATTCTTAGAAATTCCAAATTTCTGAATCTCACGAAATTCAGAGTTTCAGAATTTCAGATCTTCAGAATTTCAGAATCTCAGAATCTCAGAATCTCAGAATCTCAGAATCTCAGAATCTCAGAATCTCAGAATCTCAGAATCTCAGAATCTCAGAATCTCAGAATCTCAGAATCTCAGAATCTCAGCATCTCAGATTCTTAGAAATTCCAAATTTCTGAATCTCACGAAATTCAGAAATTCAGAATTTCAGAATTTCAGACCTTCAGAATTTCAGAATCTCAGAATCTCAGAATCTCAGAATCTCAGAATCTCAGAATCTCAGAATCTCAGAATCTCAGAATCTCAGAATCTCAGAATCTCAGAATCTCAGAATCTCAGAATCTCAGAATCTCAGAATCTCAGAATCTCAGAATCTCAGAATCTCAGAATCTCAGAATCTCAGAATCTCAGAATCTCAGAATCTCAGAATCTCAGAATCTCAGAATCTCAGAATCTCAGAATCTCAGAATCTCAGAATCTCAGAATCTCAGAATCTCAGAATCTCAGAATCTCAGAATCTCAGCATCTCAGATTCTTAGAAATTCCGAATTTCTGAATCTCACGAAATTCAGAATTTCAGAATTTCAGACCTTCAGAATTTCAGAATCTCAGAATCTCAGAATCTCAGAATCTCAGATTCTTAGAAATTCCAAATTTCTGAAGGTACTTTCAAGTCAATTTCACACCCAACACGTGTTACCTCTCCCTAAAAAAGACCTATAAAAATTTTTTATGACTTAAAATTCTTTGTGCTCTTTATGACGTGCTAAACATTTTTGTTGCATTTTCAGAAAAAAATTTCAATTTCAGACAAAAAAAATGAACGAAAATGAAGAAGAAGGCTCGAAAAATGGCGGAGTTTGGGATCAAACTTTGATGAGTGAGTTTATTTTTTTTTAATTTTGAAATTCATAACAATTTTTCAGTCACTAAAGGAACATTCGAAAATAATGCTAACATTTTTCAAAGGATTTTTCAAAAGATTTCTCCATTTTTTGGTTTAACTGCAATTTTGCCGTTTCTACTGGTCTATCATGGCTACTTAAGTAAGTCTATCTGGTTTTTCGAAGTGTCCAGATGTCCACATATTTTCAAAATAAGTTTCAGTTGCCGCTGGCATCCACAACTATCAAAAAGCGGCGCCACTTATCTATGTGACCCTGTTTTTTTGGGTCTGCTTCATTTTAAATTTTCTAGTTGGCACTGAAAATTTCAAACGGGTTTTTAAAGATTTAGCAACGAAATTGGACAATTTTGCAAAACGGAGAGCATTTGTGCCAATGTAAAAAATTTCAGAAATCAAAAAACAGTTTCCGAAGTTTCCAGAACTTTCAAACTTGCAATCGCTGGCGGATTATTGGCGTACACTATAATTGAAGCTATTCATCAGCCAACCAGGCTAATTGGATTTGGCGGATATGTGTTTTACCTTGCGTTTATGGTTGTGTTCTCGCATCGACCGAGGAAGGTTTGTTTAAAGGCGCATATCTCGAAAAATTGAATGATTAGCAAAAAATTATTAACTGCAAAATTAATCAGCGTAAAATTTCACACAGTTTGTTAGTTCACCATTCTTTTTTATCTCAAAAACTGAAGGAGATGTAATGCAAGTTAAAAAAAAATTGTAAAATAAAAAAATTTGAATAGTTTTTGAAATTTAGAAAAAAACTAGGTCTTGACCTAGAAAAAACTAGGTCATGACCTAGAAAAAAGTTTTCTTTAGAAAAATTAGGTCATGACCTAGAAAAATCAGGTCGTGAACTAGAATAAAAATTAGGTCGTGAACTAGAAAAATAAGGTCATGACCTAGAAAAAATTTGGTCATGACCTAGAAAAATCTAGCCCATGACCTAGACAAATCAGGTGATGACCAAGAAAAATTGGGTCATGACCGAGAAAAATCTAGCCCGTGACCTAAAAAAATTTGTCGGTTCTAGTCGCCACGTAAAAAAATTTAGGTCATGAAAAAAAATAGAAAAAATTAAAAAAAAATTAAAAAATTAAAAAAAATTAGGTCATGACCTAGATTTTCGTCGTCTAAAAAAGTTTTGGTCCCGTAGAAAATGGTAAATATTTTACTTATTTTGAAAATCAATTTCCCTTTTTTGTTAGTATTTTTGTGCTCATATATCTCGAGTACTGTAAGAGATATCAAAAAGTTGTCAACTACAAATATGTTGGTAATTTTATGACAAACATATTATCAGTTAAAAAAATGTTGATATCTCTCATAGCAACCGAGATAGTTGAGCTCAAATTTCAACTTCCTAGATCAACTGGAACATCGTAACCAGCGCTCTCATCTTCCACTACTGTCTAGCCATCATAATCCTCCAATGGTCAACCGGTCGTTGGTTTTTCGAGCAACTCTCCAAATTGATAGTTGGCCTATTGGAATATGCTCAAGTCGGAGCGAAATTCGTGTTCGGCTTTATTGCTGGTCCTCCGAATATCTGTGATTTGGCGCCAGTTTTTATTTTCACCTCTCTTCAAACTTTGATCTACTTCTCTGCAGTTGTAGCACTACTTTTCTATTTTGGAATCATTCAAGTGGCTCTAAAAAAGAGCACATGGTTCATGAAAGTGCTCATCGGGACCACACCAGTGGAATCTGTCTATTCCTGGGCTTGCACATTTTTGGGACAGTCTGAAGCCCCGCTTGTTATTCGTCCATACTTGGAAAAGTTGACAGGTTTGGCAGTAAATTGTTGGAAAAAAACCGGAAAAAAAAATCAAATTTCAGATTCCGAATTGTTTGCAGTTCTAACCAGTGGATTCTCATGTACCGGTGGTACGGTATTTGCTGCATATGTTGCTCTTGGAGCATGTCCAGAGTCTATACTAACTGCGAGTTTGTTATCAGCGCCAATGTCACTTGCATGCTCCAAATTGATGTATCCCGAGGAGGAGGAGACAAGGATTAAGGTTAGTAAAAACGCGAAATATCAGGAAAATTAAATATTTAACATGTTTTCAAAAACAGCGACTGGAGCGCAATTTTCTTTATTATTTTCAGGAAGACGACTTTGAGTTAGATCACGAAAACGACAAGGGATTCTTCGACACATTATGCTCTGCTGGCGTCGCCTTGGTACCTACCGTATTCGCAATTGGAGCAACTCTAGTGGTCGTAATGTCCCTTTTAGCCCTTTTGGACGAAGTTTTCTTCTACATTGGAGATCTGATTGGATACGACGGTTGGAGTTTTCAAATGCTATTTGGTTACGCGTTTTTCCCACTGGCCTATATGATGGGGATCACCAGGAATTCGGAACAGACATTGTTGTAAGTGCTTCAAATCGAGAAGGGAAGGATATAAAGAGAAACTGTTGACTATTGAAATGTAAAGTAGACAATTTTGCACATTTTGATAGTTTTTATTTTTGGATAACTCATAAACTAGCCGAGATATAAGGTCTTGAAGTTTTACTCCTAACATTTACTGGAAGTCTTTCAGAGTCGCTCAACTAATGGGCTCCAAAACCGCTGTCAATGAATTCGTGGCTTATGACAAATTGGGACAACTACAAAAGGATGCCAAACTAGATCCCAAGTCGGTTCTAGTCGCCACGTATGCCCTCTGTGGATTTTCGAATTTCGGATCAATGGGAATCCAGATGGAAGTGATTGGAGGATTAGCACCGGGGAAGAAAACTGCGGCTTCGAAAGTGATGTTAAGAGCTCTTTGTGCTGGAGCAATTGCGTGTTTTATGAATGCAACGGTTGCGGGTGAGAGATAAGGGGGAGAGGAGAGAGTGCAGAGAAGCTAGAGCGTCTGCTTGTCTGCGCGCTCTCACTGAACATCTTTGAGCGCATGTATCTCGCTTAGCTTAAGAGATATCGAAAAGTTTTAAACTGATGAAATGGGTAAAATTTAATGCTTGTTGAATTCGTAATAGTAAATTTTTCAAAAACTTGAGAACGAATTTACTAAACTTCATTTCAGGTATCCTCATCTCCAACCCGGTCGTTTGTAACAGTGCCAGCGTAAATTCCACATGTTTCCGCATTCCTTCATGATGTGTAAGAATTACAGTGCTCCACAAAATGATGCTTCCACCCTTCGCTTGTACTGAAACACCTATTTAGGTCAATGTTGGTGAAAAGGTGTCAACATGAAAAATAAAGGTCTCCCTTCAAAACCTACGTACAAAACATTTGGACCCATCACCGTGACCCGGAAAAGAGAAACCGGAAAAATTCCGAAAATCACGTTTTGGCCGATCCACAAAATGATGCTTCCACTCTCAAAAAGTGAGATTTTGGGGGTTTTGAAGCTTTGAGGAGATCTTTTGAAGGACTGAATTTGAAGAGTTTTGAGTATCTGACCCCATACACTGCCGCCCATACCATCACGCCTTCTCCTTTCAAACCTTCTCGAAAACCTTTAATTTTGTTTCTGAAGGTCGTGATAGTCAGAACAAATCCATTGGGTCGCCTCTCAGAATCCTGGAAAATCTTTCAAAATCCCAAGTTGATTCCGAATTTTTTAGAATCTCAGAAGCTCTCGTACCCACCCGGAAACTGAAATGTTTGCTCGTCAAGAAAACCTGAATATCAGATTCTCGTTACGATAGAATTCATTCAAAAAGCTGATCCGGAAAACCGGAATCAAAAATCCGGAATCCGGAATACAGAATTTGGAATGCATATTCCGAAGTTCAGTACACACCGTTCAGTACACATAATCCAGGATCCAAAAAACCAGAATCCGGAATTTCGAATCCGGAAAACAGGATTTCGGAATCCGGAAATACGGAAATTCGATATCCGGATTCCGCGATTCAGTAACCATGTATTTAAGTCTCAGTGTATGGGGTCAGATACTCAAAACTCTTCAAATTCAGTCCTTCAAAAGATCTCCTCAAAGCTCCAAAACCTCCAAAATCGCACTTTTTGAGAGTGGAAGCATCATTTTGTGGATCGCCCAAAACGTGATTTTCGGAATTTTTCCGGTTTCTTGGTTCCGGTTCACGTTTATGGCTCCAAACTTAATGTACGTAGGTTTTGAAGGGAGACCTTTATTTTTCATGTTGACACCTTTTCACCAACATTGATCTAAATAGGTGTTTCGGTACAAGCGAAGGGTGGAAGCATCATTTTGTGGAGCACTGTATTAACTAAATAATTCTATGTAAATAAACTGTATTTATTGCAACAAAACCATAAAACAGACTGTTTAAACCAGACAAATTACTTCGGCTGGACTGGACGAGTCTCCAAATACGGCTTGAATTTTGGATGCTCTCCGATTCTCTTGAAATAGGCGGTGACCACTGGGAAATCGGTTCCTAGGAATCCGGACTCCAATCCAATGAGAGAGGTCGTGGTTTCAAAGAACATCAAATCGGTGTAGCAAATGCCCGAGTCCAAGAGGAAGCCTAAAACATAGCAAGAGTTATTTCAAAATGTAGAAGGGCTGGATAAAAAGTTTCAATTTTTTTTCGTTTGAGTTGAAGGAAGAGACAGCAAGCGCGCGCCAAGAAACCAGACTGTCTGCTTCTGCGCTCTCTATCTCTCTTGACGTGTTCGTTATTGAAACGTTGTCAACTAGAACCCACCAGACTTGCTCTTCTCGATTCTATTGGTCAACAGCTTGAAGTACTTCTCTCTTGCTGGATCCAAAACCGTCTTCTTCAACTCATCCCGATCCCCAGCGGCTCCAGGATACCCGAATGCAATCATTCCCCATGGCTTCATGTCAATCAAGAAATCCTTGTATAGATCGGCAAATGCATCTGCCCACGCCTTCTCCATTGCGGTTTGTCCGGCGAATCCCAGATGATTGGCCACGAAACGAGCGATGGTTGTGGATTGAGGGATCAGTTCTCCGTCGACTTCAAGGACAGGCATTTGGCCGAACGGCATCTTATCCTTGGTGGTTGAACCCTCCTTAATCCAGTCTTCGAGTTCGTAACGGACGTCTTCGAACTCGACGCCGGCCATGTGGAACATCTGGAAACATGTTATCTTGTAGCTGTTTTAACTCGGTTAGTTTCAAGGCTATCTTAATTTTGTTAACTATGAAATTATGTAAATTCATTGCTCAATAATTTTGCAATTAGAAAAATTTTGTTAAGTTTGTTAGATTTTGAGATATGCGCCTTAAAAGAAGAAGCTTTTTTCAAACGCTCATATCTCGCTTAGTTTAATAGCTATCAATAAGTGGTAAACCAACAAAATGTTCAAAATTTTAAGCTTAACAACTTCATTATTATTAAAAACTTTCTAACTTTGCTGGTTTCCAAGATATGCTCTTTTGAATACCCATAGTGGTGGTAAGTAGAGTCAAACAAGGATCTATTTCCAAACGCTTATATCTAGCGTAGTTCGATAGTTATCAAAAAGTAGTAAACTTACAATATTTTCAAAATTTTAAGCTTAACAATTTGACTATTATAAACTTCTCCCATCTTCTCTAGTTTCTGAGATGTGCGCCTTTAAAGGAGCGCGCAAACTTACATCTCTGGTAACCTCGGCATACCCGCGGGCGTTGAAGTAGTGAAGACGGAACTTGGTCATTTTCCAGAATCAAAAAGAAAAAAGTAATAAAATTCAATTGATGATTTTTCTTCCGATTTTCCCATGCTTTATATACCCTGTCGGTCACATTTCGATCATAGAAACAGTCTGTGAAGAATCACAAACAACGCACATTTAGAAAAAAAGCGAGAGAGTATCGAATTGAGAGAGTGGTTAGAGAAAGAGGGGGAAATAATCGGCACAGAACATGGGAGACACTAACCACGGAGTGACGTAAAAATCGAGGAGACGGAAAAGTCTCTAGTTGGAAAGTGTTTTAAATTGGAATTATTGGAACAAAGATTAGTTTAACAAATCTCAAAATTGACACGATTTTGAGTAAGAAGTTGATCCTGGGATTTAGAAAATTCAGAAAAACAAAAAAAAATTGAAAAATAAATGAGTTAGGTGCAGATTCCAGAAGGAAGTATTGAGAAATACAGAAATTCTGAGGTTTTCTGAATTTTTCAAAATTTGAGAACTATGCGAGTCTTGAAGTTTTGAAATAAAACTTTCAAAGTTCTGAATTTCCTAGAGTTTTTTTTTTGAATTTTTGAACTATCTCAAGTTTCAAAGTTTCTGAAATTTTGAATTTATGGAATTCTTAGAATTTCTGAATTTCTGTTTTCTAAATATTTTGATTCATGTTTTTTTTTTGGGTTTTCACATTTGATTCCGGATATTCGAAAATTCTCGATTTCTGTGAATTTTCGGTAATTTGGATTTCCTGACATTCTGAAATTCTGAAAATATGAAATTCAACAATTCTTGAAATTCAATTACTGATTTTCCTGAAATGATTTTCCTGAAATTTTCTAATCCTGAGTTTCCCGAAAATTCTGAAAACTCAAACTTCTGAATTTCTAAGTTATTTGGAATTTTTGAAAAACTGAAATTCTGAAATTCTGAAATTCTGAATCTCTGAAATTCTGAAATTCTGTAATTCTGAAATTCTGAAATTCTGAAATTCTGAAATCCTGTAATTCTGAAATTCTGAAATTTTGAGATTCTGAAAGTCTGAAAGTCTGAAATTCTGAAATTCTGAAATTTTTGGAATTACATAATTTTCTGGAACTTTTCGATTTTCAGGAATTGTGAACCTTCTGGAACTCCTAAACTACGGGATTTCCTAGTATTTCAGAATTCCAGAATTCCAGAATTCCTGAATTATGGAACTTCGAGTTCAACTGATTAATGTTCTACTACATGTATGTTCAGCCTGAGCACACAATCTCATGTGATTTTCTAGAATTTTTTCTAGGAAATCGTACAACAGACAGGAAATTAGCAGAAAATGATACAAACGGAAATTAGAATACATATCACTACGATGATTACTTGATAAAATCCCCAAAAATCACCATAAAAAGGACCAGATTGCTCAGCTTTCTCATTCAGAGCCCAAAATGATCATCCGCTGGGCTCATCGCTATCTTCCAGCTCTCTCCGGATACCTCTCCTACGCTATTAACCCAATTCTGGCGTATCTGATTCTAACAGAACCAAAAAATGCATCAATCGGAAAGTATCGATTCTTGATTTTGTTTTTCGCAGTTTTCGATATGTTTTACTCAACGGTCGAGCTCTTGGTGCCAGTGGTAAGCCACAAGAAAGGAATTTCAGAAAACTTTCAAGTTTTAGGGAATGCACGGAACGGGATCCGCATTTGTGATCTACTTGGCACATGGACCATTTTTTGGGAAAGATGTAAATTATTATAGAAGAGGCGCAGACAAAGAGACACTCTTGCTTCTCTGCGCTCTCTCACCGAAATCGTTGCACCAAGTTTGCGCGCTTGTAACTCTTTTAGTTTGAAAGATATCGAAAAGTTGTAAGCTAACAAAATGTGTAAAATTTTGTGCTCTACGTTTTTATAACTTATGAAATTTTTTTAGCTGTTATGGCGCAGGAGATACGCTTATTTTTGCGATGCATGCAGTCCGTCGCATTTTTTTCCTTTCAAAATTTTTTCAGCTAGTTAACTGTGTAGCATTTTACAATCTACCATCTTGTACCTACAATTTTCATCTTGCGAAATTGAAAAATTGAGGAGACGCAGACAGTTAGACACTCTCGTTTCTCTGCGGTCTCTCCCTTTTACACCATTTTCCCAGCCTCAGCCATGTACTTTTTAACTTCCAGAGCTTGTAACTGTTCTAGTTTGGAAGATATCAAAAAGTTGTCAACTAACAAAATGTGTAAAACTTGATAGATGACATTTTTGTAATTGAAAACTTGTTGATAGCTTTACTGGGTCTTAAGATATGCGTCTTTGAAGTAACATGATCATCACAAAGTTTTTAAGCTATGATAAGCTGCCACGCTCCCAGCTAATTTCACAGCAAATCTGCATTTGTAAACTGCCGAAATTTTTAATGAATAGCTACATTTTTTTTAGTTTATAATTGTTTGCTAACTTTTTTAGGTCGTAAATTTTAAGCCCTCTTGTTCCTCTGCAAGCCCTCTCTCCACCTCATATTCTATCCCTTGTAACTCTTCAAGTTTTCTAGGTATCACAAAACTTTCAACAAACAAAATGTGTACAAAACAAAATGTGATGGGAGGAATTTCCGTTTCCGTTTTCCGTTTTCCGCCCGGTTTTTAGAGATTTTTTTCGTTTCCGTTTCCGCGGAAAAAAAAATTACGATTCCGTTTCCGTAAAAGTGAAATTTTATTTCCATTTCCGTTCCCGTTTTCCGTAAAAACCGCCATTTTTTTTACAGCGGAAACGGAAAAAAAATGTAAAAACAACGAAAACATTAAACTGAAACTGGCTCAAAAAAAAGCATGGAAAGTGATGCAAATAAGGTCTTTAAACGTTAAAAAGTGTATATTTTTGTGTTTGAAGGGAAAAAATCCTGAAAAATAGACGGAAAATACAAATTTCCGCTTTCCGTTTTCCGCCCGATTTTTGAAGATTTTTTTTCCGTTTCCGTTTCCGCGAAAAAAAATTTACGATTCCGTTTTCCTAAAAGTGAAATTTTATTTCGTTTCCATTTTCCGCGAAAAAAAAATTCCGTTTCCGTTTCGGTTTTCCGTATTTTGGAAAAATGCGTTTCCTCCCATCAATGATGTGTACCATTCTATGCTCTAAATGTTCTTTTTTTTTTTGATAGCTCTTTCCGTTTGGAAAATACAAACGTTTTCCAGAAACTCCGTCTTGCCCAACTCGCAATCTCCATTCGATGTGGTTGCATCTCGCTGTCCTATGGAATCCTAGTCATTCACTTCATCTATAGATACATTGCTCTTTTTCAGTATTCGATTTGTTTTTAGATTCAAAAAAATATATCTTTCAGCCCCCACCTTGTTTCCAAAGTGTTCAGTCCCGGTGGATTTTTTTGTATTCTTACATTTTTCTTTATTCATGGAATCGCTTGGGCTGGAGTCTGTGAATTGACCTTATACGCGGATCAAGAGATGAGAGATTATATCAGGGAGGCTTTCAATAAGACGTACGAAGTGGACTCGGATGATATTGCATTTTTGGCAGCGTTGTATTTGGTACGGTAGAGGTTTGGAGGGAATCCAAAAAGCTTGATTTTTCAGGACGGAAGCAAAGAAGTCAATAGACGTGGCTGGATGGGGATACTGATCCTTTCCGGGATCTCTGTGTACGCTGTGACCATGTATATTGTTTTGGGGACCAAGGTAAGCTTTGACCCAACTTTCAGAACTTAAATTTTTAAATTCAGATTGTCAAAAAGCTTCGAACCCTCGGAGCCCATTCGAAAATCACTCGAAACATGCACAAGCAGCTCTTCCGAGTTCTCTCCATTCAAACATTCATCCCAGTCTGCATCAGTTTCTCCCCTTGTATGATGGCTTGGTACGGACCAATGTTCTACTTGGATCTGGGAATGTGGAACAATTATTTTGGGGTCATTGCATTTTCAGCTTTCCCATTTTTGGACCCGCTGGCTATCACTTTTTTGTTGCCGAATTACAGAAATCGAATCATCGGAAAGCCGTTTTTTCGAGCGTCAAAAGATGATCCAGTCACTACAGTTGCAGCAATCACCACTGTAGTAACCACTGATTAAGATTGATGTACTTTTTTTCAACCACTTTACGTATTTACCTACTGTTCCCTTTTGTGCCCATTTACTAAGAATGCATCGTTATGATTAATTTCCTGTCTATACGATTTGTGTGGGATGATAATTGAAAAACAAAACATGTTCTAGATGCATCAAGTTTTGTTTTCCAGGTAACGAAAATTGAGGTTCAGAGATTCTAAGACCAAAACAGTGTTTTCGTTTAAAAATGTGTATTGAACAACAAACTTAAAAAATGACAAGAAAAAGAAAAACAAACAAAATTCTTATCCCAATGGTGGAAACTCGGATCCATCCAGAAGCACTGAACTGCATGCAGGGCACGTCCTCTTCATTTTGAACCATTCCTTGGCACATTCCACGTGGTATCTTCTTTTACAGCACTCGCATTTGATGGTTCCTTCCTCCGAATCCATTTCCTCAATGCAGATCAAACAGTCGGTGTCGGCGAGCTCTCCTGGTCTGACTTCCGGGGTCTTCAGAAGGGAATGGCAGATTTTTGGAGCTTCAGACTTGTAGATGTCCTCGTAAGCCTTCAAGAATCCCTGGGAGAGAACAGGGAAGTTTGGAAGGTCTGGAATCTCATCTGGTTTGACTAGTTGGCTTCCACGAATCATCTCTAGCTGCGTGTTAACTGCTAGACTGTAAATTTTAGCCGCCTTGCAAAACCTGGCAGCTTCAACTACTGTAGCATCTTTGATTTCTTTGTTTTGAGCCTTCGTATAAATTCGATGAGCAAGTTCTCTACATTTTCCGATTGGATTTCCACTCTGAAGAGTTGCTTGGATCTCGAGAAGTTTGAAGAGCACATCTCTGACTTTCTCCGTCTCCTCGTCGCCTCTGGTTGGCTCCAAGGTTGTGACTTCCGATGATTGGTCCTTCTCCGCAAGAGATATTTTGAGATCTTCGATAATATTATCCTTGGAGTCCACTTCCATCTCAAGATTCATGATTGTGTCTTGATTTTTCAGAAGATCCATGTTTTGCTTCTCAATGATATCATCCTTAGATTTCAGTAGTTCCTCTAGCATTCTGATTCTTTCATCCTTATCCGCCACTTTCTGTTTGAGAACTTCGACTTCTAATTCTGCATTTGCCAAGTCCTTCTTCAGATGTTTGCACTCGACTTTAGACAATCTGAGCTTCTCATTTGCAACATCAGCAAAATGGCTCGCACGAAAGCATTTCGGGCAAGCTTGAGATTCTTTGGCTTCTAGACTCCCGAGTTTATGACTGGAGGTGGGTTCCGGATCTGAAGACTCCGTCTCCTTGGCCTTCTTCGCTTTCTTTGATCGTTTCTTCTTTCGTGGAACTTCAGATTCAGCTTCTTCCGATGGATTTTCCTCCCGAACTCTTTTCGAACTTTTTGGCAATTCCGCATGACCGTTCTTGCAGAACAGACAATCCAAAAATGATACCCATTTGGTACAAATCTTTTGACTGTGCAGGAATCTGTAGAGGAAGGGAAATCCGTAGAGGAAAAATGCTACTTGGCACTGGTAGATCATATATGTCATATCAGTTTGGTTGAGAGATTCCTTAGGTTTAACGTCGAGAACAGATTCATAAGACCATTCGGCAACTGTGTAGATGTCAGGGAACACTTTATCCAGGTCCAGATACTTTAGTTCCTTTTCCAAATCCTCCAACGAGAACCCTTCGTTTCCGACAGCTCTAACACTTTCAGCTTGTTTGGAATTCTTTAAATTGGCTTCATAACATTCCTCCCACTTTGATTTAATTACATTCAGCTCGTTCAGGCTGATGAAGAAAACTCCTCGATCAGAATCAAAATAGTTTTGAACAGAAACAAAGTACTTTTCCAAATGCTCCAGTTGTGCTTCTGATTCAACGGTCTGGAGCACTTTTTTGGCAAGGAGCATATCGACAAGAAGTTCATGAAGAGCATCACTGGCGCGAACACAGTAGCCACCATCTGGGGAAGGAATCGGGATGGCTGTTAGGCTTGGAGTAGAGCTTTGGATTCGGATGAACTGAAATAGAGATATAATTATTTTTGAAAACTTTTTGAAATCCTCTTACCTCGGTATTCTTCATATCCTGAATCTTCACTTTTCTTGCAACGTCACGGAATTCAAGCGTCGACAGTGCTGGCATCCTCTGAATCTCTTCTTCAAATCCAGACACATCCAAATTCTTGTTTTTCAGAGATTGGAGCAGTTCATGGGCCATCACATAATTTTCCTTTCCAGTGACAAATAGTCGAACGGTTGCTTTTTCAGTGACTGGGAAATTTTTCTCGACGAAATTCAAGAAGAATCTGACAGCAGATATGATCCACGTAAACATATGGCCATAGTCAGCCTTGTTCTCTTCCAACGGAAACGTCTCCATGTATCTCTCCACGACCTCATACATATCTTCGGCGGTTTGTGCTGCAATGTTGAAGCCTGCTGCCGCGTGTTTGAAATCTGTTTTTGTGTCGTAATCCGAGCAAGGAGAAGCGTCCCAACAGTTTCCATCGAATTGCTCAGCCAACTTCTCAAGAATATCGTTTGAAGAGTCCACCATCTCGCAACCAAACGTAACAATTTCCATATTTCTCCGGAACTTATTCAATGCGGATTGAACCACCACACGTCTCCAATCAATGAATGGACATGGGATGGCAGACGTTAAAGCGTAGATGTCCGATTTGTAAATAAAGGCGGATCCTTTGAGGCTCATGTGATACTCGGGCAGCGCCATGAGAGAATCATCGATGTTGAATTGCAGAAGATTGGGACAACCGGGGACTCTCAAGAAGTTGAGGAGGGCTTCGAGTAGAGCCTGATCGGACTCAAACATTCCTAATTGGGTCTCGGCCAGTTTTAGAAGATCCTTGAGGTCCCAGTAGATGTAGCCCTTCTTGCATTTCCAATTGGTTGGGATGAGCTGAAAGAAAGGATGTTTGGGATGTTTTTCGAATCCTAGGACGCATAATTCGGCCCAGATTTGATGTTTGAACAAAAAACTGAAATATAGAACTCGACAAGATCTACAAAATGAAACATAAATCAACTACCGTATTTTCTCTCACAGAGGCCTCCCAAACCGGCAACTTTGAGCTCGATTAACTCTATTTCTGTTTTAAAAAAAACAAAAAATTGTCAATTGATAATCATAGTGCCATCAATATTTTATCAGTGACAAGTTTTTGATATTTTTACAGAAAACGAGATATATGAGCTCAAAGACGACTTGGGTGGGCTTCTATTATAGGAAATACGGTATATTTGAATTTTGAGATTCGTACCTAATTGGAAGGCTAAAGAGACAATGGTTATATATAATTTAGTAGGTCTCACCGAGCCCTATGCCGCATTTTCAAAATTACACAAAAATTTCAAGTTTGAGCTGAGTTATGCGCCGTTAAATATACTTACCTCCTTCGGAATGCACCGGCTTACAAGCTTCCTCAGATTGACTGAGGAAAGAACCAAATCCATATCAACAACAGAAATAGAAGACATAGTTGAGTACAAAAATTCAAAACAGGAGCAGCGAGGTAATGAACACAACGACTGTATGTATGAATGAATGGACGAATGGGAGTCGAGAAGACGTGCGTGCGGAGTCCACCTGGGCAGAAAAGGGGCGGAGCCAAATACGACGCCTTCTGGGAAACTGGCATCTTTAAGAGGTTATGTGTAATGATAGGTGCAGAAGGTGTACATTGGCAATTTACCTTTTGGGAATGTGGGATCATTAATGGGGTAATATGTAAAGAGGGGTGTGTATTCATTGACAGGTATCGTCAGAATATGATTTCATATGAGGAAGTAGTTTTGATGCCAGGTGAAATATGGAAAATGATATTGTCAGTTGCATGGGAAAATAACAGCAGTGTACTGGTAAAGAACGAACAATTCGAATACCGTAAAAGCTGTAATAGAAGAACCTCCAAGTTTGAATGTTCTCGGTTCCTATGAGAGATTAAGAAGTAGCGATTTTCAAAATTTTTAATTCTCGAAGGAATAAACAAAAATGGTCCAAATTTCTGTAATTCGTCACTGAAAATACTAAACTACTGATAAATGTCATAATCGATGTGTTTTTGTCCAGAAATACTTCATTTCAACGCAATCATGAAAAATATGGTTTTAATTACATTATTTCTGTTGATTTTCAATTTTGCAAAAAGTTACGTGATGCACAATGCGACTCAGAATTTTCAACTAGTTTTTCAGCCAACAGAGAGCTCACATCGAAAAATTATCTTCAAGCTCGAAGGATCCGTTTTATGGAAAACAACAAGTCCAACGATAGTTTCCTAATATTCATTTTGCTTTATCACGACCCTTATTGATCNCTACCCCCCCCCCCCCCCCCCNCCATGCTTTTCCAGAATCCCAGAAATTGAAAGCTTCGAGTTCTGTGAATCACGTGAATTTCCAAAATCCCAGAACTCGAACCGTTCGAGTTCTGTGAAAAATCCCAGAAATTGCAACGTTCAATTCCTGTGAATCACGTAAAATTTCCAAATTCCCAGAATTCGAAGCCTTCAATTTCTGTGCATCAAGTGTTCTTTTTTATCACCGAATAAATATATATTTGTGTATCGAAAAAATTCTATTGCAAGTACAGGAAATACTAGTCGAAAACGCTTTATCGTTTTTTTATGTAAATTTGAACATTTTTTTCGCTCCACAAAGAAAATGCGAAATTACTGAAACTTCACAGAAATTTTGGAAATTGAAGTGATTTGGGATGAAAATTGAAAATTTTGAAAATCGCTCCTTCTTATATCAAAAATCTGTCAACTGTGTAATAAAATGTTTGGGATAATATGATAAAGATTTTATCAGTTGACAATGTTCTTATATCTTTGACAGGAACCGTGATGTAGGCTTTCCATTTGGGCGGGTGAAGATGCGGGCCACCCGCTACCCACCCGGAGGAAACCCTACCGTGATGACCTGGCTCAAATTTGAAAGTCAAGGGACCCTTCGATTATGAACGATCCTAAACACAGTCGAAAGACTTTGAAGAGCTCTGAATGCCTCCGAAGGATTCGAAAGACCTGTAAAGGATTCTGAAAGCATCTGAACGGTTTTAAAGATCTGAAGTATTCGAAACGTTTCTAAAAATTTGTGAAGGCCTCTAAAGAAATCTAAAAGATTCTGAAGAAATTTGAATAATTCTGCTGGCTTCTGAAAGATTCTGTAGGATTCTGAAGGATTCTGAAGGATTCTGAAGGATTCTGAAGGATTCTGAAGGATTCTGAAGGATTCTGAAGGATTCTGAAGGATTCTGAAGGATTCTGAAGGATTCTGAACGCCTCGGAAGAATTCTGAGGACTTCTAAACTGTTCTGAAGGATTCTGAAGGTCCATTATCGATTCTGAAGCATTCCGAGATTAAAGGGATCCTGCGATTTTATGATTCTGAGAACGAAAAATTCGATTTCTTGATAACAATAACCCACAAGACTAGAAAATTTTCGAAATTTGTACTTCTCTCGAGAAATGAGTAATGATATTTTTCATGAAAATTTCCAGGTAATGGGCGGAGCCTACAATTCCTTTTTCCTATAAAATCCCATCCAACATCATTTCCAGAATAGAGAAAATGATCTACGTCAACTGGTACCACTACCATATTCCCAAACTTTTTGGCATTTTCAGCTTTCTTATAAACCCAATTTTCATTTATTTGGTGCTGAAAAAATCCAAATCTCAAATGGGAAAATATCGATATCTTTTGATTTTTTTCGCCTGTTTCGATGTTGCTTATTCGGTTGCCGAGCTTTTGACACCTATCGTAAGTTTGATCAACTTTGAGCTCAATTATCTCAGTTCCCATGGGAGATATCCGAAAAATTTCATCTGATAAAGTTTTAATCATATTATCAACATTATTTTATCAGCTGACAATTTTGTCATACCTTTCACAGGAATAGAGATAAT